AAAAACCTAGGTGCTCATCAGCAGAAGAATGGATAACCAAACTATGGTACATACACACAATGGAATACTATGCAACCCTAAAGAATAACCTGTTGTTGTTGTTGTTGTGTGCCGTTGAGGCGGACCCAACTCACAGCAACCTCTCCTTGGGTTTCAGAGGCAGTATCACTGTGGAAGTAGATTGCCCAACCTTCCTTCCAAGGAGTGGCTGGTAGGTTTGAACTGCCAGCCTTCTGGTTAGCAGTCAAGTGCCTTAGCCACTATGCTACGAGAGCTCCATAGACTAACCTAGAATCTGCAAAATTCCACATAATGTAGATGAACTTGGAGGGCATTATGCTGAGTGAAATAAGTCAATCACAGAAGGACGAATACTGTATTAGTCAATTATTGTAAAAAGTCAAGGACAGGTTTCTATATGGAAGGAAATTATCTTTATTGGTTACCAGGGTGGGAGGGGAGGAGGGAGAGGGAACACTGTTAGATAGGTAGAGACAAGTGTTGATTTGGGTGAAGAGAAGAGCAATGTACCAAATGTGGGTGATCAACACAGTGGCATTGAGGAAGAGGAAGACAAAGAGAGGTGCATGGGAGGTACAGACAACAAAGATGAACACTTTTGCACATATAGTCCTGCGTTGTCAGTGAAGGCAAACACGGATATATGGGTGAATAGATGGCTGGACAGGCTGAACTATTAAGTATGTCTATGCAGGGGGGAGTGACCCCAAGACCATGTATAGAGTTGGAAGATACTATTTCTACAAGTGTATTTGTATGTTCTGTATGAATTCCCAGGTATATAGCAGAGCTGACAAGGGGCAAGGTTGTAGTCACCTCTTAACCACAGCCAGCTACCCAGAGGAAGCAAATAGTTTGACCTGTAGGCTTGGGACCACAGTCACCAGGGACATCAAGCTCAATTGGCATAACATACTACACAAAAACAGTGTTCCACATCCTACTTTGGTGCCTAGGATCTTAAAAGCTTGCAAGTGGCCATCTAGATGCAATGATGGGTCTCTCCTTGCCCAGAACAAAGAAGAATGAAGAAAACTAAAGATGCATGGAAACAATTATCCAAGGAACTGGTCCACCATGTGATCCTCAGCCTATATGACTATGAAACCAGAAGAACTGGATGATGCCCAGCTACCACTGTCAACCACTCGGAGGAGGATCGCTGTAGGAGATCCTAGATAGAGTGGGAGAACAATGTGGAACAAAACTCAAAATCATTAAAAAAAAAAAAGGGACCAGGTTTGCTAATCTGATAGAACCTGATGGACACTAAGGCTATGGCCCCTACATGCCCTTCAGGTCTGGAATTGAACCCACTACCGTGGCTTCCAGACAAACAATAGATAGGAATAGGAGCTGAACATTTACATTAGGTAGATACACTCATTGGAGAGATCAATCATGGGAGAATAGAAGGGCTGCTTATGCACAGGGAGACAGTTCAGGAGGCAGGAGTGCATGGGAGGGAAGGACATAGGGAAGAGGTAACTATGGGGAAGAAGTGGGAGGGGAGCTGTTGCATTGTGGGAAATTGCAGTCAATGTCATGAGACAAAGTGTATGTGAGCTGGTGTATGGAACATCAATTTATTCTGTAAACTTTCACCAAAATCACAATAAAAATTAAAAAAAAAAAAGATGGATTGACACAGTGGCTGTGACGATGGGCTCAAGCCTAGCAAAGATTGTGAGGATGGCACAGGACTGAACAATGTTTCATTTTGATGTACATAGAGTTGGTATAAGTTGGAATCAACTTGATGGCACCTAACTACAACAACATTTTTTTCTTGTGTTGGTCTAGTTGGGCTCATAGTCTGTTCTCTCGAGGCCCATCCTCCCCTCTTCCAGTAAGAAGAGCCCTGCCAACTTTTGTTTCCAGTAAAACAGAGCAGTTGTGAGAGACAAGCTGGGCATAGTGATAGAAGAGACCTCAGAACGTTTTGCTTGCAGACTTTCCAACCCTTAAATCTCTGAAGCCTGGAATAGGCTGGTTGAGCTGGAGGACACCTGTATGTTTATAAATTGATTTTACTTTATATACTAATATGTCTTGAGCCCTTCCATGTGCCAGCATTTTACATGCATTAACAAATCTCAACCTTACAAGAATCATCAAAATGAGTTCCCATTTTACAGATGAGAAAATAGAAGCACAGAGATGTTAAGTAACTTGCCCAAGAGTTAAGTGGCAGAACCAGATTTTGAATGTAGGTGTTTTGACTGCAGAGTCAGCCTTCTCGAATTCTATGCTCTGTTTCTTGGTGAGATCATTCAAAAATTATAGTCTGACCAGGGGGTCCACAAACTTT